CTCCTCCTCCTCCACCACCACCACCACCACCACCACCACCACCTCCTTCATCTTCTCCTTCTCCTTCTTTCTTCTTTCTTCTTCTAGAAAATGAATAACTGGAAGCGCTTTTTTTTCTTCTTTTACAGATAATTTGCATGTAATCTGTTGATTTCAACCTGGCAATTCTGCATATAAATGAAGAAATCGAGAGTTGATACACAGATATAGTTGCACTTGTCTTTTTTTTTTCATCTAATTGCTAATTTTGCCTTTTCCTCCCTCCTAAACCCTCAGGCTTGAAGATGCAGTGGACGCCAGAACATGCCCAGTGGCCAGAGCAGCACTTTGACATCACTTCGACCACCCGCTCTCCCGCCCACAAGGTAGAAGCTTACCGTGGCCATCTTCAGCGCACCTATCAGTATGCCTGGGCGAACGATGACATCTCTGCTCTCACAGCCTCAAATCTGCTAAAGAAATATGCAGAAAAGTATTCTGGAATTTTGGAAGGGCCAGCCGAACGTCCCATCCTGGGTAACTATGTGGAGCCTCCATCAGGGCTGGTGAATGGTCGCAAAAGTGAAAGTGAGCCGTGGCAGCCTTCTTTGAACTCTGAGAGTGTTTATCCTATGAACTGTGTCCCAGATGTTATTACCGCCAGCAAAGCTGGAGTAAGTACTGCTCTCCCTCCGGCAGATGTCTCTGCCAGTATAGGGAGCTCCCCCGGGGTGGCTAGCAACCTGACAGAACCTAGTTATTCAAGTAGTACATGCGGAAGTCATACAGTCCCTAGTCTGCATTCAGGGCTCCCATCTCAGGAATATGCCACAGGATATAACGGATCGTACCTGCATACAAGTTACAGTGGCCAGCCAGCACCTGCACTTCCTTCACCTCATCCCTCTCCTTTGCATAGCTCTGGGCTTTTACAGCCACCCCCTCCACCACCGCCGCCACCATCCCTAGTGCCAGGCTACAATGGGACATCTAACCTTTCCAGTTATAGCTACCCGCCAGCAAGTTATCCCCCTCAAAGTGCTGTTGGGGCTGGCTACAGCCCAGGTGGAGCACCACCTCCTTCAGCCTATCTGCCTTCAGGTATCCCTGCCCCAACTCCTCTGCCCCCCACCACAGTACCTGGTTACACCTACCAGAGTCATGGCTTAACGCCCATCGCACCGTCAGCCCTGACCAATAGCTCAGCAACTTCTCTCAAGAGGAAAGCTTTCTATATGGCAGGGCAAGGAGAAATGGACTCCAGCTATGGAAATTACAACTATGGCCAACAGAGATCTACACAAAGCCCCATGTACAGGATGCCCGACAACAGCATTTCCAATGCCAGCAGAGGGAATGGCTTTGACCGAAGCGTTGAATCCTCCTCCTTGGCCTTTAAGTCAACCAAACAAATCATGGCTTCCGAGCAGCAAAGGAAATTTAACCAGTCCGGTCGGGCTCTGACGCCCCCTTCCTATAGTTCTGCTAAAAATTCCCTTGGTTCCAGAGCAAGCGAGCCCTTTGGGAAGTATAGCTCTCCTGTCATGAACGAACACAGCGAAGAACACAGGCAGCTTCTTCCCCATCCAATGCAAGGCCCGGGACTTCGTGCAGCTACCTCATCCAATCACTCTGTGGACGAGCAACTTAAGAACACTGATGCACACCTCATGGACCTTGTGACCAATGAGATTATCAGCCAAGGACCACCAGTGGACTGGAATGACATTGCTGGACTAGATTTGGTGAAGGCTGTCATTAAAGAGGAGGTTTTATGGCCAGTATTGAGGTCAGATGCATTTAACGGGCTGACTGCTCTACCTCGGAGCATCCTCTTATTTGGACCTCGGGGCACAGGCAAAACATTACTGGGGAGATGTATAGCTACCCAACTAGGTGCCACATTTTTCAAACTCACAGGTTCTGTTCTTGCCACAAAGTGGTTGGGGGAAGGAGAAAAAATTGTGCACGCTTCCTTCCTGGTGGCAAGGTGCCGACAGCCCTCGGTGATTTTTGTTAGTGACATTGATATGCTCCTTTCATCCCAAGTGAGTGAAGAGCACAGTCCAGTTTGTCGGATGAGAACCGAGTTCCTTATGCAGCTGGACACCGTGCTCACTTCCGCTGAGGACCAAATAGTAGTCATCTGCGCTACCAGTAAACCGGAAGAAATAGACGAATCTCTTCGAAGGTACTTCATGAAACGACTTTTAATCCCACTTCCTGACAGCACAGCCAGGCACCAGATAATAGTACAGCTGCTTTCACAGCACAATTACTGCCTCAGCGATAAGGAGGTTGCACTGCTAGTCCAGCGTACAGAAGGCTTTTCTGGACTCGACGTGTGTCATTTGTGTCAGGAAGCTGTTGTGGGCCCTCTCCATGCCATGCCAGCCACAGACCTTTCGGCCCTTATGCCCAGTCAGTTGAGGCCTGTTACGTACCAAGACTTCGACAAGGCTTTTTGCAAAATACAGCCTAGCATCTCTCCAAAGGAGCTCGATACATACGTCGAATGGAACAAAATGTTTGGTTGCAGTCAGTGACAAGCCGTCTCTCTCTTTTTTAAAATAATAATAATAATAATAATAATAGTGAAACAAAACAAAAAAAAAACAAAAAAATGTAATGAATGTTGGTGCGCGCACACACATATGTACACACAAACCTGTTACCTAGGGCACGCAACCCCTTTTTCAGTCGTGTTGAAATTGTGGAAGGGTACAGGGGTTGGGGGTGGGGAAAGGATCACGTTGCATCTAAAATAGCCAGGTTTAGGCTTGAAGAAATAGTGCATCCGAGGAGAGCTGTCGATCTGCGAAGCCACAGATGATGATGATACGATGTTGATGTTCCCTTCCATTCCGTTCAGACTAGACAACACACTCTCATCATGGAGGGGTTGATTTTTTTTTTTTTTTTTAGAAGGACATGAACCCTGTGTGTTGAATCATTCTGCTGTTTTTGAGATTTAGTTGCTTTCAAGTGCCTAAAGTGGTGCTTTATTTTTTCCCCTTTTTTTCCTTTCTTTTTGTTTGCCTCACAATTACATTGGTGGCATGTGCTAATATAAAGAGCTTTAACTTCAAAATGTTATGGGACTAAAGACATGAACAGTTGTGTTGTGACAGAGAACCAGGTGTGATATTGGTTTAGTTTTGCTTCCCCGCTATTATAGCTAGTCTAAAAGCAACAGTATTCCTCAATCCTGTCTGTTCTGCAGTATTAAACTAAGAACAGGTAAAACAGGGTAACGGTAATCTGGACTTTAATTTCCACGGTTTGTTTTGTTTATTGTTCTGTCTGCAAAAAAAGGAAAAAAAAAGAAAAAAAACTCAGGAAAGTGATTGTGATTTGTACAGTACCTCAAAGGAATGTGTTGAAAGCACTATGTACTGCTGAGATTTAATAGGCTAGGCTTCTATGTTACTTTATCTTAAATATGTATGTTTACCTCAACGGTCGGGAAAAAAAAACGAGAAATATTTTGAATGTATTAAGGAGCAAGCTGAAGCATGCTAAAACGATAATCTTTAAAATTTTGAAAATACAACAGGAGTATCCCAGTGTTTAAGAAACATTTCTTTCTTTCTTTTTAACCAATATTGGGGATCAAATTGGAGCAAGGTGATTTTCATGGCAGTCATGTGTGGAAGTCCTTAGTCCTTGACAATTTTGTGACAAGTCAGTAGAGAGCGCACAGACAATAAAAGAAACCCCCCCCCCCCACACACACACACCTTTTGAATCATCTAGGACAGTCAGAGACGAAATCTGATTAGGATTCTGAGAGGCAAATTACCTTACACCACAAGATACAACTTTTATATCTTAGTTAGGGTTATAGGCATCTTGATTGTCCAAGTGCATCACTAGCACAGAATCCTTGTAGGTCACAGAGAGCTTAGGGGCTGCAGAGCTGTTTACAGCAATGCAGCAGAGAGCGATCAAACAAAACAAAACAGAAACAAGACAAAATTGAACCCTCAAATGGCATCTCTCTTCCTCTTTGCTTTGCATTTTCACCACCAAATGAAAAGTTATCCCTTTGTTTTATGTGTGCTGTTGTTGCCTCTTTCTGTTTTCTTGATGCATTTGTTTTGTTTTTAATGTGATCATTCCATGGTCATTAGAAATTTGCCCGGCTGGAAAATGCCCACACATTTTATTTCTACCTCAGATTTTGTTTTATTTCTCTTAGAGAGGCACATAAAAAACAGGACAAGCCAGATTATCACTAGCGTGCAGAGCTGTTGAAGGTCCTATTAACACATAATCCTAAACAGGCTTCTTTGGAAAGAACTAGTTTTGTGTATGGTGAGAGGTTTTCTCCCAAGTAAGTGTGTGTGTGTGGAATTGCAGTTTTTCTTTCTTTGAAAAAGAAAAGAGGATTGGGAAGGGAATCCTTCTGCCTCTTCTCCCTTTACCCGACCAGGGCAAATGGTGACTGTTTTCCTTCAGGAAAGAGAAGGTAGATAGGATGTGTGGCATTTTATTCTATTTGTGCCCCTGCTCCACATTGTCTCCCTTTTTTTATTCTTTAATGCTTTTATGAGCAATTCTTTTCATGACAGCTGACTGATGCTGTAATGTCGCCGAACAGTAGAGCAATTCAAACCTTCGCAGCCACGCAAGCAGAGAGCAACCTCTCTCCCTCCCTCTCTCTCCCCTCCCTCCCTTTCTCTTTCCCTCTCTCTGTTTTTCCCCCCCATGTAATCTTTTGTTTACTTTAAAGAAACGGCAGCAGAACAATTAGAAGTTATTGGCATTTAATGTTACTTTTAAATAATGTACCTTCAAATCCATGAAATAAATGCACTGAAGAGCTCTAATGAGAAAAAGACCAATTAGTCACCTACTTATTTTGTCTTTAAAGCTACTGCCCAATTATTACACTTGGTGTTTCTTCAGCTAAAATGTTAATTTTCATTGCTAAAAACTGAGCAAATAAACCAAAATGCACATTCTAGAAGTCCTTTTGTTCATTCTAAACTTCTGGGTTGCTTCTAAAAGGCAGAGGAGTTCATTAAAAAGTTAAAACAGTGCCTTTCACTAAGGATATAGTAAAATAAGTCTTAATAAATGCTTTGCATTTTCAATTAGCAAAGGTCTTTCTTTTTCTGTTTTTTTCCCTCTCTCGTCTATTTCTTCCATTGTATCTTTTCCATTTGGGAAGAACCACACTCTCCTTCGCCAGATTCATATTGATCTTGCAGATGGCTTTCTGATACATATTGCTGACCAATCTTCTGACTTTTAGATATCACATTATGCTGTTGTGTTGCCATCCATTTGAAATATTCAAACATGCTTTGAAAAACTAAATTTACAATTGCATCACCTCTGTCTTATACCTCCTTTAACGCTAACGTGATCTAATTTTAAGGTGACGCCAAATACATTCAGTTCAGGTATATAGCAACAGAATAATCCCAGTAGCACTTCAGTTTAAGTTGGCTTTGGGATCGGGAGGTGCTCAGTTTAGCTCACATTTTACACTGTGTATGTGAGGAAAAAGCAAATTATTCTTCCAATGAGCTTCATAAATAAAAGACTTAATTGTGAGGTTAAGAAACTTCAAAGAGTTCATCCTCTTCCAAATCCTTTGAATCTTATATTGTGGATTCACTGCTGAAAATATCAGGCCATTTTCTCCCAAATGGTAATTAGCTACAACTAGTGAGGTGTAATGTTTTACCTGACATGAAAATAATAGTTTGGTTTACTGTACTGCCCTCATACAAAATTGAGGCAAGCTATATCCCACTCTCGGCTCTCTGCCAATGGAGATTCCCTGTTAAATAGAACAGTCAGATTTTGTCTGGTTTATTCAGAACCCATTACTTCAACCCATAGTTACAAATACTATCCTTTTTTTTAGCCATTTTTTTTGCACTTTTTAGGCAAATAAGGCCGTTTGTTTCTTCTGCTGCTACATTTAGGCCTGTATGGAATTGCGACCATTCACATTTCATTGCAATCAAAACGCCTTCTAAGAATTTCCTTTCTTTTATGTGGGTGTTCCATACATGAGAAGACTAGCTTTTGATAGGGAGTTTGATATGGCCAAAATATACTAGCATTCTGGAGATGTAAAACGGTTCTGCCGTGTTTTCATTTGATTGGGACTTAGGATTCTGCCTGAGCAGGGCATAAGACAATGAGGTTGCATGGCCAGATTCCACACGAGGCAGATCTCCTACATCTTTATGATAGCTAAAATTCCATCAGCTCAATTCTCCTTTCACTGCAAAACGTAATCATTCAAGGCATACAACTTGGCTTCATCATTTGTTGGAAAATTCTAGGAATAATTGAAGATAAACATGTATCAGATGCTTCCTTTTCTACTTGAGAAATTTTTTTCATTAGGTGAGACTTCATTGTCTCTCTGTCACTCTCCTCCCCACTTCTCCCAGTTTTCTTCTCTGGTGACAAGAACAATTGTAATAACAGAAGAAAAAGCAGGGGATTAGTTTCTGTCAACCAAATTATATCACTGCCAACTGAAATAATGGCACGATAACTTTTTCTATATATTTATAAAGAAATCCTCACTTCTAGCATGCTTTTCTCCAAAATATTGAGGCCATTAAGGATAGTAGTGAAAAGTTTGCTGACTGAGCTAATCAATGGAATGTGAAGGCAGTTTGGGGCTATTTACTTTTTTTTTTTTACAAAATATTTCTGTATTAGTCAATTTGTATTCTATTCAAATGTAGATAGATGGGCAAAATGGTTTTCCTTGTGCATTTCAAACCCATCAAGGAGGAAATAAAACCTCCCAGTAAAACACATAGGCAAAGCACCATCTGGGAAAGCTAGCTCATCTGTCCAGGGGCTATGCTCTGCAAAATAGTACAAGGTCATTTTATATGGGTTAGCATAATACTTTGCTAGGCAATTTTCAAAAGGAGATAATCTAGTGTAAAAACCCCAATTAATTCCAACAGATGTTGGTAGATGGTAATGTGTTTACATGTCAAAAGCTGCAAATAAAGGTTTCTACTGCCTGAAAATGTTTGAGTAGAGGAACAGTTATAAGTTCCATAATATGTTTCATTCTAATTTAAAAATATAAATCATCATTTAGAAAGTGAAACCTCAGAAATACATGCAAGAATTGAGCAAATTTTGCAGAAACAGATCTGTGCAAGACTATTTTGTTTCGGTGGAACTATCCCTGTATACCTAACCTCTTAAAGGTTTAAGCTTTCTTCCTTAGGCAGATCATGCGCACAAGTTCTATTGATATGATTGCCTAAGAGTCCCTTGTCTATGGAGATTCTCAGTCAACCAGATCATGGTTATCTCAAAGGTTCTTTTTCAAAAGGCAACTGGACTGTCTTTGTTTTTCCTTGAAGGCGTTTCACTTCTCATCCAAGAAGCTTCCTCAGTTCTGGCAGGATAGTGAGGGGGATGGAAGGATCCCTCCATTCCTCTCCTGTCACCATCCTGCCAGAACTGATGAAGCTTCTTGGATGAGAAGCGAAACGTCTTCCAGGAAAAACAAAGTCCAGTTGCCCTTTGCAAAAGCACCTCTGAGACTAAGAGTCTCTTGTGCATCTCCCATTCATTTCACCCAAAATTCCAAGGATATAACGGGGGATAGATGGCCATAAAGATCAACAACACCCTTTCATCTTGTTATGCATGTTTTTGTATAATCTTTATGTGGACATACACACATAATATGAAGCCATTTTCGTTCTCTCTTTCAAGGAAAAGATGAGAGCTTTCTTTTCCTTAAATCATTTGCAGATTTATACTCAAAGCACATTGGTAAACATGGAGAGCTAGTAATATTCCTAGACCCAAAGAAGCTGCTGCCCTGGGGACTAGTCAGTCCATGAACTGACCCTTCCCCTTTGCAAAGATCTTTGGTTGACATTCGATTTTGAACTTGCCAGATACGTTTTTTTGTGAACCAGGGATACTGCATCTTTAATGAACAAGCTTCTATTCTTCCCCCTATTTTTAAAGGCAACACAAGAAGTGTAGCACCAGGCACCGCCATTGTCAAAGACAATTAGACTGAAAGCAGAAAAATTTCACCTCCCTGTCTCAATGATACATAAAATGTCGGCAGTGTGGGTCAGCCTTGCAGCTGAATTTTGTGAGAGTATATGAATCAGTCCTATAGAATGTTAAATATTTATAAAATGGTTCTGTTCTCCACTAAGGTTAGGAATGTAGTCATTCCTTATTGTCTCACGACACACAAAGAGGAGGAGATATTATTTCCCAACCAAAACTTTGCTTGTATACATCTTTCCTCACCCCAAATGGTTCTTGTGGTTTACATGCAGTCCCAAGTAGTTTTGTCTTCATAGATTCCCACCACCACATTTGGGTGTGTGTTCAGACATTGTTCTTTGAAACCATTTCTACCTCATTACTACATATTGTACA